AGCGCTTAACCCGGAATTCTTTTTCTTTCTTCAAAAACATTTCTTCGGATAATTTTCTCTGTTATTTCTAAGAGCATCCAATCATCAACTTGTTGACAAAATAAATTAAACTGAATTTACTTTTTTAAAAGCTTTCACATCAGAATTCAAATTTCGACCTAACCCTGTCAAAGCCTTCAGTGGAATGTGTGTGCTGCTCACGTCAATAACTTCTCCAGTAATTTGGTCGAGCGTGTTGATTTCAGTGACTCGAGAGTGGCGCCACTGTGGGCTGGTTTTTCCTAATAAATAACATAGAGTTAAAGTGTTCGTTTGTCTGGTGCCGAAAATATCACACGTCATGATCAAATGGCCCCGCCGAGCTTCACTTCTCGGTAGATTTACTTTGTGGCACAACAGCTGCCGAGCTACACAACTCGGTAGGTTTACTTTGTGACACAACGGTCGCTGAGCTACACAACTCGGTAAATTTACTCTGTGGCCTGACAACGGCTTCCGAGCTGCACAACTTAGTAGATTTACTTTGTGACACAAAGGCAGCCGAACTAAACCTGGTTTGATGCATGCACCAGGAATCGTACACATTTTCCAAAGACGGTGACGAACCATGCTGAAAGTTATGAAGGCTTAATCCAAAGTAAAATTTAACAGCAAACTTCTGAAAGATGAACGTTTTGTGATTCAGCAAACACAGATCGATGTAGGTTTTAAGAAGATTCAGCAAACTTTTTAAAAGACGAACGCTTTACGAGGACAGAATATCAGACCTTGGCAAACCTTTGAAAGATGAATGCCGAGGACACACGAAACACCACGTGAGTTAGCGCGTCAAAGTGAAACAAAACGTAAGCAGGCACTTCAAAGTGAGGCAAATGTGTGTCGACGACGACGAAAATGCAATCTCAAAATAACCTCCCTTATTAATTGCACAGGACACCCAATAACTCACAGAACACCCAACACAAATTAAGATCTCGTAGAAGTAGGTTCTCTAACATCTCGAAGAAGTAGGCTCACCACGTTGTAGAGTGTTGTAATGTCATCGGCCGAATCGACTTAAGCCCTAGCGAACGCTTTCAGGCGAATCGACCGCAATTGCCCTCTTGTATTAGATTAGTGCCAAGCGAGTACCGCACTCAGGCACCAAGTACGAAGCTTAGTCGTGCAGTGATGGCAAAGGAACGAACCAAAAGGCGTGCTGCGAGTGTAGTGATGTTGTTTTGCTAATTAAACCTATTTCTTTTATGACGTTCTCATTGTTGTCGCCTTTGACCAAGCTTCCCAATGTTTGCTAAAGTATGGATAAGACACTTCGCAAATAATAACGCGCGTTATAACTACAGCTGTAACTTACCAGCCAACATTCTTTGCGCGGGCGTTTCCCATATACGACCAAAATGAATACTGTTTAGGTTTGTCCGGATAAAAGTGACGGAACGAATCAACAAAGCCTTCCTCCAGCAGTTCAGTGAAACCTTGTCTTTCTTCTTTTGTAAAACCAGCATTTTTTGTGTTGGTCTTTGGGTTTTCCAAGTCTTTAAAAAAGGAAAGGGAGAAAATAGATGTAGTATTAGTTATTAGCGGTTTTAACGTGGAAAGAGTTCTCCAAAATCTCCTGTCTACAGGAGAATTGGTAGAAAGGTTTTCAGGATTGCTTCGATAGAAAATGCAAGCCATTATTGGTTAATGGGGTTAGCATTGGTTTGCATCGGCTAAAAACACCTTGCGCACCTTTTGAAGTTTACACAAAATAGTATTCCTCATGGCTTCGGTTTCCCCAGTACTGTGGATGTATAGTGTGGAAGCGATAAGGAATACTAATTTGCGTAAACTTCATAAGGTGTCTAAAAAGTTTCAGGGTGATGGGATCTTATAGCAACCAGTAAATGGTTCACTTTGAATATCCTTGAAAAATCGTAACTAACGCTTGTTCAGCTAGGAATCGTTATGTGAAAAGCTTGTTCCCATTCTATACGCACGGTTATGGGTGGAGACATAAAACCTGGTGTGCACGTATTTTTTAAACAGAAGAATAATTGATTAACAGGATTAACAGCCAGAAACTAACCTATTTCTTTGTGAGCAACATTAAGGTCACCATACAGTATAATAGGTTTGTTTTTGTCTAGATTCTTGACGTAATCCCTGAAGTCTTTATCCCAACCCTGTCTGTAGTCAAGCCTGCAAGGAAAGTAGAGAGAAATACAGTTGATAGTTTCAGTCGAGAACTGATACGGACACACTTTCCGGATCGAATAAGAATTTGAACATGTTGGTTTTTGAGGAGAGGGACAAACAGAAGAAAATACAATACCGCAAACTGCCGCTTATGAATGTTTCAAAGGGGCTTTTAGGAGGGGTTATACCGCTAAAAGGAGGAGCCTGTTATAACTCATTTTCCAAAGTGACCTCCATACATTTTCTTAAAGAATTGGTGTACAGAATTTTACAGAGAATCAAAGTGTCTTTCCACGTGATCAATTTGAACTCTCATAACCTTTTCTATTGATGATGTATTGACATTGTTCACAGAAAATTCGTTTTCAAGAACTGTTGAACCTGTGGCCCTCTATATGTTCCCAACCAACTAAAGACACGTGAGGTCCTGAGGTGGAAATAATGACCCTTGACCCTTTTGTATTCTTCTTCAAACTGTGCTTACCTTGAAAGACCACGCCCTACATTAGGCACATATAAAATAGAAAAAAATGGAATACATACAGAAACATTTATTTTCAATACGTTAATTGTAAATAATAATAATAATAATAATAATAATAGTAATAATAATAATAATAAAATAACAAAGATTTCGCTAAACTATGAGGGCATGTTGTGGTAGTGGATGTGGTTGTCATCATTGACATCATAGCAGTACACTCTACTGTACAGCTATAGTAATAATAATATCAGTAGTTATAGCCCTTGTATTAGTGCATGTTAATGTACAAGAACCATGTAGAGCCAAGCATTTGGCGATGTACATTAGTATAAGACTATACTCACGTGATGCCAGTAAATAAAACTCTTTAAATTCAGATGTTATAACTCTTCCTTCATTGTCACGCTCCTCAATGCCTGAAAAAACATATGATACATTTTGCCTCTTTACAACCCATAATAGTATTGCTGTTTATTTTTAACTGTAAATAAGAGACATTCCTGCAGGGTGAAAGTACATGCAATTAATTCCCAAGTGACTTCTGATAAACTACTAGATTCTCCCTTTAATTTTCCTTTATGTGTTTGTCAATCAAAGAGAGAATTAGAAATTGCATCAGGAGACACTTAATACCTTATTCCCATCACCCCTAGATTATCGGCAAACAAGAACCAATCAAGATACCATTAATTTTATATTATAATATTAATACTTATATTGTACAGTGTAATTTCCAGGAAAATGCACAAATAACAGAGATTTACAATACAGTTCAAAGAAAATTCAGGTTGACATTGTTATGTTTTCAAATTTAGAAATGAGCAAATAAAAACTGTTCTGTCGTGTTCAGAGTAATTCTTCTAAATGAAATCAGCATTAATCAAAAGTACTTATTTCTGTGTAGAAAATGTACATGACAAGTAAAGGAAAACCTTGAGCCTTACAGTGCTACAACATCTAAAACATAACAACTGACCTATACCATAGGATACATTCAATGGCTTTGTCTTACTGCAGAGTCTAAGATAAATATACATAATCAAAAGAATATCAATTTGATAATTAATGTAATAACTACAATGATTTGGTGTATGTATAAGTATACTAGGAATAGGCTTTACAACAAAGAGCTAGCCTTCTGAAAGCAAACACATTCATTTTAGCCTGAGCAGAGACTTCCCATGAAAAAAAAAGGAAAAACCAAACTACAAAAAAAGACCATAACCCTAACATTACGACTGGTATTATAAGGTGAAAATTTTAAAAAAACCTTGTTTCATATGCACAAGCATATTAATAGTACAAGAATGGAATTACGAGATATTGTGTTTATTAAGGCTTTAATTTATGCATAAACTGAATACTGGACTTTTGCAAGTAAATTGGCCACTTGATGGATGTTTTTGGAAAGTTTTAACCACTCTAGTCATTCTTTGAACAAATGTCCTGCCTTCTTGAACTCTTTTTGCAATTTGTAAGGCCACTTTCATGAAAACAGTCATTACATAAATTTTGATGTTGCATATCAATGCCCACTCTAATAATACATTTCTAACTATAAAAAAATAAAAATAAAAATTATAACAATTCACATACAGTTTGCAGAGCAAACATGGATAAGCTAACAATCTATATAATTTTAATATTTGAAATGCATATTCAAAGAAAGCACATGAGCACTAAAATGCCTTAGAAAAGCTGGTTCTAAAAAGAGGAGCATCGAAGAGACTGGGCCGAGCGTCATGGCGGAAGGCCACGCGGTGTGAAGAGCAACCTCAAGAAGAGAAAAACTCGGTTATTTTGAATCAGAATTATGACTAAATCCAAAAGGGGAGAAAGAGGCTCCAGCTCTAGTTCTGTTTCATCCAACACCGAATTAAAATAAGCAAGGATGAACGAAGAAGAAGAGGAAACAAATTCACTCAGGGACTTAATTCAAAACTTAACGGCGAATATGGAAAGCAACTTTGCGAAGCTGCACGAAGAATTATGCGGCCTGAGGCAGGAAATGAAGGAAGAAATTGATATGTTGAAGAGCAATATTAAAGGCGTGGAAAAAAGTGTAGATGAAATATGGGCGACCATTGAAGATATGAAAGAGGCAACCAAAGCTCTGAAAGACTCTAACACGGTACAGGAGGACGAGATGTAAGAACTGCGAGCGCTTCTTACAAAAACCAAAGCTGAGCTAAAGGAGGAAAGAGACAAAGTTATAGAGCTGGAAGATTATACTCGGCGCGAGAATCTAAAATTTCACAATATCCCAGAATCAGAAGAAGAAGGTGTTAACCACTCGCCGAAACAAGTTATTCTCAGCATTTTGCAAGAGGAGTTGCAAATGGACACTGCACGAATTCGATTTCACGCAGTGCATCGAATTGGCAAGCGAAAAGAAAACAAACACAGACCGATCATTGCTCGCTTCGTTTGCCGAGAAGACAGAGACCAGGTTTTTGCCAGGAAGAAGGGAATTGAAGAGAGCACAAGGTTCATGGATGCTTACATAACCGCGGATTATGCAAAAGCTATACAAGATGAACGAAGGAAGCTAATAAAGGCGATGTTCAAGGCAAAGGAGCAAGGTTCAGAGGCCAAAGTGGTTCGTAGATATCTGTACATAGGAGAACTAAAGTATGATGTAACAAATATCCCTGAGGATTTTAAGTAGATCAAAGAACGAACATAGATCTGTTCAACTAATTTACAGTACTACTGGTGCAATACAACAACAACTTCTTTAAGTCAGATTGAAGCTAATTAGATTCTGAAAAACACAATATTTAAAATTGCCGAAAGGTCAGTACCTTCTTGAAATACTTCATTTGAGTATCTCAAGGGAGCATGTTTCGGCTAGTGTTTTGGTGGTTAACGTGTGTCCCTGTATTATTTTCTTTTTCTTATCTGTTAGTGTTGTATTTGAGATTTTTTCGAGTGTTTTTCTATTCTAATTTTCGCTTACTGTGTTTCTTTATTAATTTTATCTATGCACAATCAGTATCCTTTACTTGCTTTCAAAGTATGTCTACATTCACGCCTTCGTTTGTTTAATTACAAGTTCGGCTCTTTTGTTTTCAGCTATGCAGTCCCACAATTTGCATACAGTGACATTAGTTGTTCAGTGCTTTTAAACTAATATCGCTTAATGTGAAGGGCTTAAGTAATTTCCGCAAAAGAAGAACCATCTTTCTCTGGTGTCGTAAACGTAAAGCAGACCTTGCTTTTTTACAAGAGACGCACTCGATCGCTGCAACAGAAAATCAATGGAGAAATGAATGGGGTGCTGAGATGATATCTTCCCACGGTAGTTCTAATTCGCGAGGTGTTGCGATTTTGTTTAAAAATGGTATTGATTGCAGCATTACTCATAAAATTGTAGACCCCGAGGGGCGATACATTATTTTAAAAGCTTGCATCCAAGATAAAGACTATGTGCTGATTAATGTTTATGCGCCGAACAAAGATAAAGACCAAGTGAATTTTTTCAACAACCTACTTTCAATTTTGCAAAAGAAAATCTGGATTCTTTGGATAACATCATACTAGGAGGAGATCTAAATTGTCCACTCGATCCATTACTCGACAAAAAAGGCGGAGCAAGTACAAAAAGGAAGTCAGTTATCTCTTGTGTCGAAGATTTCAAAAGTAAATTAGATTTAGTGGATATCTGGCGATCCAAAAATCCAGACGCAAAAAGCTTTACGTGGAGTCAAAAATCTCCCCCAGTGTTTTGTCGTCTCGATTACTGGTTGATATCTAACAACCTGAGCGATTTTGTTGAATTGACAGAAATAATCCCGGCTGTACGAACAGATCATGATGCAATTTCTTTAGAACTCGGAAAGCTAGAGGACGAATTGAAAGGGCCAGGAAAATGGAAAATGAACTGCTCTCTGTTAGATGATGAAGACTAAGAAGAAGATATGGCCAGGATGATTCCACATAGCGGAAGGACAGAAAGAATTTACAGATAATCGAATGATATGGTATTGGATTAAATATAACATAAGAGCTCATGTTATTCAATACTCTAAAAGAAAGGCAAAAGAAAGGGGGGAAAAGGAACTTGACCTTCAGGAGGAATTAACTAAAGCAAAAAGTAAACTTGAAGATAATCCAAATGACCATAACAAAACCTATTATAACGTAGTTCAGGAGAAGTTGGAGTCGTTTTACGAAGAAAAAACCAAAGGCGTAATAATGCGAGCACGTGGTAGATGGCATGAACATGGAGAGAAAAGCACAAAATGTTTTTTAAACTTAGAAAAAAGGAACCACGTTAAGAACCATATAAGAAAACTGTGCATAAATGGTAAAATTACAACGGATCCGCACTGTATACTAAAAGAACAAGAGCGTTTTTACAGAGAATTGTACAAAAGCAGCATTAATAGTCCTAATACAGGAGAGAAAATATCTTCATTTTTGAACGATCTGAATATTCCCCAACTTTCAGAGGAGGAAAAAAATTCCTGTGAAGGATTAATTTCTTCAGAAGAATGTTCTGAACTGTTAGATAGCTTTCAGAGTAATAAATCCCCTGGAAATGATGGCATTCCAGCTGAATTCTATAGAAAATTTCGGCCTTTAAGAAGCGAAAGTTTTATCAGGTGTGCAAATGAATGCTTCGAAAAAGGGGAAATGTCATGCTCACAAAAACAGGCTGTAATTACTCTGCTTGAGAAAAGCGGAAAAGATCGCACTCTCCTCGAAAACTGGCGGCCAATATCTCTTGTTAATGTAGATACGAAAATTATGTCCAAGGTGATCGCAGCAAGGGTTAAAAAGGTGTTACCCAGTATCATTCACTACAACCAGACTGGTTATGTTAAAGATCGTGTCATTGGTGAAGCAATACGTTCTATTTTCGATATTATGGACTTCACAGCTAAGGAAAACATCCCAGGTTTACTGCTGTTTATAGATTTTCAAAAAGCTTTTGATAGTGTGGAATGGGAATTTCTCATTGAGAGTCTTAAAAAGTTTAACTTTGGTCGAGATTTCCTTCAATGGGTGAAAACCTTTTATAACAGCATTCAAAGCTGTGTTATAGACAATGGCGTTAGTTCTAACTTTTTTACTCTGGAACGCGGTGTTAGGCAGGGTGATCCACTCTCTCCTTACTTATTTATAATTGCTGTAGAAACTTTAGCAATTGCTATAAGTTAAAAAGAGTCAATTAAAGGAATCACAATAGGAACTGAGGAAACTAAGCTTCTACAGTTTACAGACGATACAACCGCTGTGTTAGCTGACACAAGCTCGGCCGCAAGATTATTTGAACTACTTAACAAATTCGAAATTCTCTCTGGACTCAAGATTAACTGTTCAAAAACTGAAGGTATGTGGATTGGATCTAAGAGACATTATAAAGAAAAAACATTCGGTATTAAATGGCCGGACGAGCCAATAAAAGCTCTGGGTGTATATTTTACTTATGACCAAAAATTGCTTAAAGAAAAGAATTTTATAGAACGACTGGATTCAGTTAAAAAACTTGTTAATATATGGTCCGCTAGAGGCCTGTCGATATACGGTAAGGTGACAATAATCAAATCTTTTCTTATCCCTAAGTACATTTACATTTGTTCGATCCTTCCAACTCCCAAGGAATTACTAAAAGAATTGAATAAAATACTGTTTAAATTTCTCTGGAAAGGTGTAGATAAGGTAACAAGACCTTCAGTTATAAACGAATACGAAGAGGGAGGGCTAAGAATGGTTGATCTCGAGTGCATGGTTAAGTCATTGAGATTACCTTGGTTAAAACGTATCTTCAGTGGGACTAATGGAACTTGGAAAAGCTACCTACAACACATACTGAGCTCCGTTGGGGGATTGTTCTTTTATAACTGCAACTACAATATCTCGGATTACACAATTCCTTCTCAATTTTATCAGGAACTTTAGTTATGGTGGTCGCAATTTCGTGAAACGTTTGCCACTGAAGAAGATTGGAAAACGATAATCTGGAATAACAAAAAAATAAAAGTAGAAAACAAGCCGGTTTATTATAAACATTATGTTAACGCGAGAGTCATTTGCATTCAGGATCTTTTATTTAGTCTGAACAGTACTGATTCTTATAATCAACTGTCTAAAAAAATATGCAAAACAAATATTTTAGAATGAGCTGGCTTACGCAGGTCCATTCCATTATTGTTAAGAAGTTATGACAGGTATCCTTCCATAAACTCACCAACATTTGTGGTGGGTGACAATAATTTTGATGTTACGAAAGGGAAATCAAAGGATTACTACAACCTACTCATCAGAGAAAAAGCTAAACCGCCCAATATTATTCAAAAATTACAGAGTAACGTTAATTTTAACAGCGACAATCTGAAGCAAATATTTAAGCTGCCACACTCTATCGTTGTCGAATCGTATGTTAAAGCGTTCCAGTACATATACAAAGTAATTAACTCAATTCTTTACACAAATACAAAGTTGTATAAAATAGGTTTTAGGACAAATGATTTATGTACTTTCTGTGACAATCAACCTGAATCATTAACACATTTGTTCTATCACTGCTCACGCTCTAAACAGTTTTGGATTGAATTTGAACTATATTGGTGCCTTATTTCGAATCAACGAATTCGTCTCTGCTTGGAAAATGTGCTCTTTGGAATTTTGACGGAAAATGCTTGCCCTTTACTTCAATTGCTGAACTATTTTATAATTATTGGAAAACTCTATTTGTGGGACTGAAGGAGCAAACAAATCCTTCCAAACATTTATGGATTTAGAGCCAAGATCATCGCTAAATATGAAACAGAAGAAAAAATCAGCAACAAAGAATTCTTTAAAAGAAAGTGGATACTGACGCCTTATTTAAGTTAACTGTATTAACTCCGTATTATTTCATTGCCCTGTTGTACTTTTTTTACAATTTCTTTTAGCCCTGTAACACCTCCTGTAATAATTTGACAATTTTTTTTTGCTTTACTCTGTTAATGTCTCTTGTTAAAGTGTTTTTTTTGTGTGTGTGGTTTGTAAATGTAATTATTTAATGTGATTATCAATAAACATATTAAAAAAAAAAAAAAGAAAAAAAGAGGAGCATCAGTTCTGATCATCCATGCAACCCCAGATAAGGCACCACTGCAGAATTGGGATCAATTAAGTAGCTGAGGGTAGAAAGGGTGGAAAAAAAACCCTGGCCTTTTCTTGTAAAAGGTTGCAAATTTTTTAAATAATTTGCATTGTAAAATAATCTACAACGTCACACGGCTTTTAAGCCAATCAAACCCAGGAAATTTTAAAATTTTTTTGCACTTCACGTCATAATTCAGGGTGGCTGAGCGGCTAAAGTGCTGGACTTGTAATTCAGAGGCCCCAAGTTCATGTCCTGCCCTAGCCGCTAACTAGATTTTGCCAACCGGGTCCTCTCCTACCAGTTGGTTGTTTTAACAATGTTATGTTCCATTTAAATCATGTGTTTCATTAAACCTGAAAAGCACCATAAGGGGAGATCAAAAGGATAATTAAAGTACTATAATCATCATTATTAATATCATAAAAAGTATTATCATAATAATAATAATGACTTCAAAGAACTATCATGCCTTTTGAACTTATTTTCAGACTTTGGACCGGTACAAAAGACTTGCACGTTTGTCATACAAAGCAATACTTCACTTTAGAATTGCTTTATTGGATTTACATACTTGTTACAGGTCAAAATTAAATTCAGGTTAAATTTTTTTAACCTAAGTTGATTCTCAATTTCCTTTGTCCCCTAGCCCTAATTATTCATGAATTAGGGCACTAGGAGACAAAGGAAAGAGAGAATCAACTTAGGTTAAAAAAATTTAACCTGAATTTAATTTTGACCTGTAACATACTCACCAAACTCCATTGTAACCTTTTGTCTGTGCTTCAGCCCAGTAGGTATGATATCCAGGAAACTTGGCCTCCTAAAACAGCACAAAATGAGACTTGTTAGTAACAAAACAGGTCAATAAGAGAAACAAACAAAACAAACACAAGAATTTTATATTACAAGCCTTTAGCTAAGAAATAATACAATTGGGGGACATCATCACATTTAGAAAAGGAGGAAACTGGGCTGCCTTCAGTATTTATCAAAGCACATTTCAAAACCGGTTTAAACCGGATACCTCAAACCGCCCAAAACCGGTTTAAACCGGTTTCCCAAATTCCGAGAAAATCCCAAGGTCCCTCAAAAATTCCAAGAAAAGGCCAGTTAAAGAGACTGTCCTGGTAACCCCATATTTGTATACTACTGCCATAGACACTATGATTCATAAGCTTAAAATAGTCTTTCTCAAAAGCATTCTTAGCATTCATTCATTTCTGTGTATTAAAATTAATGTATTGCCCCAACCATGGCGACTGATCAAATTGCAATACACGATGTCCTTTATTTAGTTTTAACCCGAGGGATAGATAGAGTTGCAGATTTCTGTAATGTAGCACATAATTTTTCTTATCAGACAGTGGTGGGATAAGCTTAGCTACTTGCCCGATATGTATTCCAAACTTCTCCTGAATATTTTTACAATAGGAAGAGAGCATTTCTTTGGTAACTTTCATTTTCTGCGCAGCTAGAGGATAATCGTTATGCAGCTCATGCAATTCGTTGGGATATTCCAAATCGACTTCCTAAATCATACCCTTTTTTCTGTCTTCTGTACAGGCAGCTAGATTAACTTTTTGCATCTGTTGTTCAGTCATCCATCTAAACCCACCTGTTGTTAAACACTGACTCATGGCGTATCCATAAAGGTTATTCGTATCTAGATACATAACATACTTACTTGGTTTGCTGTTATCATATCCAGAAATATACTTTAACTTATTATTAGCTTCCCCATGCCTGTTACTAATATAGGAAATACCACCGCGCAATCCCTCTTCTATAAAGTGGAACATATCAACATCTGTC